GTGTGACTTCAGGAACGTTGATTAACGTCTTTGTGCTTCAAATTTCTTTTCGGACAAAGCAGAGCAATCATGCTATGCAGCTCATCAGGCTGTTCCAAGCATGTAGAAATTCTGGATGCAGAGCCCTTAGAAAAGTGCTCAAAACTGTTTACCACTGTGGTTATTCGTCACCAAAATGAATGGAGTTAACCCTCCAGAGCTTTGTCAGCATCTGTGATGTAGAACACTCTTACTACACAGCAGGGTGCAAGTTATGTCTATTGAGGAAGAATTGTTTGTAATTTTAAATATCCTGTCTATCTTGGTAACTACTAAGTAAAGGTCCTGCTCTTCCTTCCTCCTGAGGGACTTGTTTTAACAGAACAGTGTTCCAATTCAGACAAGACAGAAATCTCCCAGGGTGGGTCTAATTTCAGTGTCCTTACCTGAAACAGGACAGGTAAGCGTAGCTTGCAAATACCCTCCTTAGTCACAGTGTGGATACTGCTCCAATGAATGTCAGCCAGTGCCAGACTAAATCCGAGCTTCCCTGACCAGAGAGGCTATGCCACACTGGAAATGAGCTGTAGTGTGGGGAAAAGCAAGGTACGAGGTAGAGCAAAGTTCACTGAGGGAGCAATGTACTGCCAGACTCTCTAAGAAGGAGACCGAAGTGCAGAAATCCAAATGCAGAAACACTTGGTTATAATAAAGGGCAGCAAAAGACTCAGAGCTCTTTGGGGTGTTACTGGCATCGCTGGAGAATGAGAACATTCCAAAACTAGGCCACTAGGTTACTCTGCGTGTTGAGCGTTCACTCTTGTATGCAAGTTTTCTATTCATTGTGAATTAATTAACTGTTATATTCCTTACTCTGCCTCTTTGAGGCTTTTCTAACCTCTTGCATTCGTCTACTAATTTTTAAAGTTCATTTATTTATCCCATGAGTGAGAGAGACAGAGATACAGCATCCTCCAACACAGTTCTGGTGCCACGATCCAGCCCCAGCCTCAGCCAGCCTGGATCATGGACACGTGCATGCCCACTGTACTCAGGAGGTCTCCAGACTTGAACTGGTAACCTTCTGATGTAGGTCTCCTTGCAGAGCATTGCATTTTACTGCTCCAGCACAGTCTGGCCTCTTGTCTACTTTTGCTTTCAGCTGAGAGATTATAGGAAGCTCTCTCCAGCTAACCCTTCAGTCTTGTCTTCCCAGGTCTCTCTGGGACCTGGGTTTATCTGGTCTTTCTTTCTTTCTTCCTTTTCCAGTTATTTCTGTCTGCTGCATCTTTACTCTCTGTCTATAGTCATGTTCACATCCTCCATGTCCCCTTCACTGTCTTTGCTGGATTTCTAGAAAACAGGATGCTTTTTCAGGACTACAAATCCAGCTCATTTCCACATCAAATCTTTGGCCATGTCCCCATACCCCCTGGGCTTCCTCTTTCATTCTGTTTCTGTTAGTGCCTTAATCCTCCCAGTCCTCTGTGTTCCAACTTTCTAATTCCTTTTAAATTTCTCCTTCTGTTTCAAACCAATAATAACAGCAGTAAAGAAATATGAACTAGCTTCCCTGGAAAGAGAGAGAGAGAGAGACAGAGAGAAGGAAAGTGAGAAACCACCCTCACTTTGCAGGAAGATGGCCTCAACGCAATCCCGTCTCTATTCTCCTCTCAGGATTCTGGGCATGCACACACACGTGCCTGGTGTGATTTTTAAGCTGCCAGGTCCCGGACTCAAACCGAGGTCAGCCACGTGGAAATCCAAGCTTTAACCACCACACCAAATGCTGGCCGGTCCCATATGGCAAATTCTTAACAAACATTGGCATTTATCATCACAGGGACCCTAAGAGGCTGGCAGTGTTCACCTCACTTTGTAGCTAAGCCAAAGGATGGTCTACATGTAAAATCCGATGTGTTTGGCCCACAGCCTGCGTGTTGGAGGGAATAGCGCATAGTGTTGACCTTTGATAAGTTCTTGTCATTTATCTTCATGCTCCCCCCCCATCTGCCATTGGTTTTGATTTTTACAGCGTTCTGCTTCTAGCCTAGCCTCACTGTCTCTATCTCATACTGTATGGCATGAGGACTCCTTGAGAGCGGGTCTAAGTATGTCCTTCCACTGCCCAAGTCCTTCAGCAGTTCCCCTCGTCCCCTCTTACCAGATCCCCTCCTGGTCATGAGCCCACATCCCTGCACACAGTCATCCTACAGACTCTGCTCCTGGCCAGCCACCCCTGCAGTCCCTTACTGTCCTTCCAGTTTGTGTTGTCACACATCCGCCCAGCCCAGCCCTGCTCTGCACCGCCCAGCTCCCCTCCTGAGCCCTCCTGGGAGGGTCCCTGTGGGCTGCATCGCCATCCCTCACTACCCTTGGTGAGCTAGAGGTTGTCCTTCTCTTTAGGGAGCAAAACACTTCCTTTATAGCTCCAATTCTTTCCTCTCTCACTCTCTTTTCTAGAGAGTATCCATCTGCACTCTTCCTCTCTCACCTTTGTGCTTGCAGAACCTCACAGGGCTCTTTTCAATGTACCAGGAAGCAAATGGGGGTGAAGAAAATACTTCCGCCAAGTAGCATGATGTTCAAACACCAGGGATGGAGTCACTATAAATATCCGGATAAAATGTGGAAATGACAGGACGATCTTACTATATTCACGTGGTCCACGCCAGTGGACAATCCTCAGCCAAGGTGACACACCAGAAAATCCTGTTTGTAAAGTTATTATGAAGACAGCGCTAGGTGAAGCCAGTAGGTGGCATGGCAGTTAAGACACTGGACTCCACACATGGTGACTGTGCATCGAGTCCCAGACCCGGTGACATGCTTTCTTTACTTCCCCTCTCTCTCTCTCTTTTTCTCTCTGGTGAGTGTGTGTGCCATGTAGCAAATTTAAAGAAAAATGATAATAATGATGAATGAAATTAAATAAATAATTCTTTAAAAAAAAAAAAAGAAGAAGACAGAGCTAGGAGCTGGCGCCATGGCCTGGTGGTGAGGGCAGCTGGATCCCACATGGCTGACTGTGCAGTTCGAGTCCTGGACCCAGTGGTCTAAGAAAACTGGGCCTGTATGCGTGTGTTCCCAAACTCCCGAAAGGAGGGAGAGAGAGGAGGAGGGATTGCGGAGTTACTATTTCCCATAGGTGGTGCTTTCTCCTCTCCCTCTCTCTGTTTCTATGTCTCTCACAAGCATGCGTGCCCCCCCCCCCAAGAAAAGAAAAACAAAACAAAGGTGTGGGGGGAAAAGGCAGAGCTGAGAACTAGATAGGAGGCAGAGGCCTACGCACCCTGTAAGAGGAAAGGAGACCAGAGGGCTTTGTAAATACTCTCTTGACACCAACGCAGGGGAGGAGGAAGATGAGAGGGTGCTTTCCCTTCAGTATTTAACAAAGGAAGTAGGATGGGGAATTCGTTCAGGGAAGATTTTTCTCCCAGTAAAGTTCATGCATGGAGATGCAGTTACTAAGGGAAGTGAGATCTCTTTTGTGAAGATCCTTGAAAATCGAGTCGTGTGTTCGATCTGCACTGTACACCTGCTGTCAGTTCTGGTGCATTTTCCACTTACTAACTCTTGGCCAGTGTTCAGATCAGGTAATGAATAGACTCCTTCTACCATGAAACCGTGGTTCTATAAAAAGGAAGCATTTCAAAAATAGAAGGGCACAGTCATAGTAATTATATTTCTAACCTTTTGGACTCTAATGCTTTATCATTTCAAATAGGAAATCTGATAATATGATCAAACTCCCAGTACTGATCCACCCCACCCCATAACATTTCATCATTTTTGACTAGGTAAAAGTTGGTTTATTTTTGTTTTTGCTATAGGGCACATGCAAAAAGAGACAGAGAGAGAGAGAGAGAGAAAGTGAAAAATCACCTCCCTCTGGGGGTATGGCCACACTGCAATCCCTTCTTCTCCAGTAACCGCTTGGGATTTGGGGCCCACACACACATATGCCTGGCATGATTCTCAAGTCGCCAGGTTTGGGACTCGAACTGGGAAGCTGGCCATGTGAGAGTTCAGCATCTTAACCGCCATGCCACCTGCTGGCCCTGTGTAAGATTTTTTTTTTTTGAATGTGTAACATATTACGTAACAATCACAGGACACCGTTGTTAAGAGCACAGACATGGGAACCATCCACTCTGTTTGAATCCTGGCTCTGTCACTTCCTAGTAAAGGGCCCTGCATAAATTACATAGCTTCTGTGTGCCTCAGTTTTCTCATCTATAAATAGGGTTGTTGTATCACTTACCTTATGGGCTTGTGGATGTAAAGGCCTTAGACGGGGGCCAGCCGGCAGCATGGCGGTCAAGGCACTAGACTCCTACATGGTTTACTATGGTTTGAGTCCTGGACCTGCAGCTTGCTTTCTCACTTTCCCCTTCTCTCTCTCTCTGTCTTTCTCCAGTGAGCGTATATGCCTTATGGCAAATTAAATAATAACCATAAATAAAATTAAAGAAATAGTTCTGTTTTTAAAAGACCTTAGAGAAGTAGCTGATACACAGAAACTGCTCAAAAAGTGACAGTTTATTGTTTGTACTGAAAACATGATGTGACATCTTGGTTCATACTGTGATTTCTCAAAAGTGGGTTTTTGCTGCCAAAAGGATGTGTTTGCTCCTGAGGGAAGCATTTGGGGGGGTTACGTTAATTTATTTCAAGCCTCTGGCTAGTATACAGTGATAACCTAGAGACAGCTGAACGAGTTCCTTACTGCACTATTTTGATAAAGCCCTGCACCATGGGCTGGTAACACATGGCACCTAAGGAGACCGCCCCTACCTATTTTTTGAACTGTTCTCCTTTTCATGGAGAAATGACACAGACAGCAGTGATCCTCTAACACAGAAATTGAGATGCTTCTCTATGTATGGGCGTAAAATTCCTTCTGTCACCAGAATTGATCAAAGGGATGTTCACATGAAGGTAGGTACTCCATTTGATTTAGAATGTGTTAAGTAGGCTCTTTATAAAAAGGATTTGTAAAACACTCTCTTTGCCCCTAGGAAGAATTCGGGTTTCACACCAGCAGACACAGTGGCTATCATTTTCTGTTCTACGCACAAATCCCTCACTTTGGGTAAGTGATTCAAAGAGTTAAAACACCATATATTATCCTCATGTGGTGACATCCTACAATTTTGAAATTAAAGAATTCTTCAGGCGCAAGTAGGTGGCGTGGTGGTTAAGGTGCTGGACACCCACATGGTCAACTGTGGTTTGAGTTCTGGACCAAGTAGCTTAAAACTCACACCGGGTGTTGGGAACCAGCAGTTGGCGTAATGGCTATGTTGCTGGATTCCCACGTAGTCGACCACGGTTCGCGTCCTGGACCCGGTGGCTTAAAACTCATGCCAGGCGCGTGTGCGTGCGTGCCCAAGATCCCGAGAGGAGAATGGAGGAGAAGGGATTGTGGTGTGACCATCCCCCCTGGGGGGTGATTTCTCGCTTTCTATCTCTGTGTCTCTCTCTGTCTGTCTGGAGAGCGCACACACCCTATAGCGAAAACCTCTCAAAAAAAAAAAATTCACACCGGGCGTGTATGTGTGCCTGCTTAAAATTCCAGGAGGAAAATGGAGGAGAAGGGATTGCTGTATGGCCATACCCCTGGGGCTGGTTTTTCACTTCCCCTCCCACTGTCTCTCTGGCTCTCCAGCGAGCACATGTGCCCTATGGCAAAAACTTTAGGGAAAAAAAAAAAAAAAGAATTCTTCAAATTAAAGGGAAGAGGGTATTGTCTACTTTATTAATAAAGAACAATTGCAAAGTAAGGAGGGGTTATTGCTTTGAAATAATATAATTTGACCAGATCAACCTCTGAATTTAATACTGTAGAATTTAGGATACGCTGAAATCATGTTTTCAATTCTTATAAAAGATTATCAATGTCAAATGTTAACATTAGAGGTAGGGTAGGGGCAGAGGTGGTGGGGAGGACTACTTCTGAAAAAAAGAATTGGCAAAAACTGCTTTGGAAGGTTTCAGAGTTGCCCCTCAGAAATGCGGATTTCTTTTCTAGGAGCTCAAAGTGAGGTGGGAATAATTTTATTATTCTAATGTGATATTGATATTAGTGTGAAGCTCATTTCCGAATATAAAGAAATGCAATATAGTTGTCGTTAATTCAATTGGATTAGCACTAAAAGTAAAATAAGTATTTATTTAATGGAGAGAAATAAATTAAGAAAAAAGTGCTATTATTCAATTTAGTGGCATTATCTCAATAACCTGTTAGACATCCAGAATCTGTGTTTTTAGTCATTAAAAGTCATTAGGAAATCAGAAAACTTATTGAAATACACATTACTCACAAACTCCTCGGGATAGTAGGCATGTTGCAGTTAAAACTTACATTTAGAAAACTTCTCAGGGTCAGGACCAGCAGTTGATAATGGCTATGTCGCCGGACTCCCATGTAGTCGACCGCAGTTCTAGTCCCAGTCCCGGTAGCTGAAACTCAGGCCCGTATGTGTGTGTGCCCAAGATCCTGAGAGGAGAATGGAGGAGAAGGGATTGCAGCATGGCCATCCCCCCTGGGGGGTGATTTCTCGCTTTTTGTCTCTCTGTCTCTCTGTCTTTCTGGTGAGCACACGTGCCCTATAGCAAAAACCTCTGAAAAAAAAAAATTCTCAGGGACTGGCCCCATGGTGTAGTGGTTAAGGGAGCTGGATCTCACATTTGACCACACAGTTCAAATCCCAGCCCCAGCTGCTTGAAAAACAGAGTGGGCACGTGGGTGTGTATACCTAAAATCCTGATAGGATGCAGAGATATAGGACAAGGGATTGTGGTGTGACCACAACCCACTGGGAGAATGCTTTTTCCTTCTCCTTCTCTTTTTGTCTCACTCTATCTCTCTCTCTCTGACAAGGAGCACATGCTCTCTTGCAAAAAAAAAAATGTTTTAAAGAATTATTTATTTTTTTTCTTTTCTTCCTCCCTCCCCTCCCCTCCTCCCTCTCTCCCTCCCTCCCTCCCTCCCTCCCTCTCTCTCTCTCTCTTTCTTTCTTCCTTTCTTTTCTTTCTTTCAGTTTTGCCCAGGGAGGTACAGAGTGAGTGAGAGAGAGAGGGAACATAAGAAAACAAGCCACCAGGTCTGGGGCTTAAACCGTGGTCACCCATGTGGAAGTCCAGCACCCTCAACCACCATGCCACCTGCTGGCCAAGCAAAATTTTTTAAAACTAAATTTCTAAAATGTCTTTGGCTAGCTGATGGTGTAGCAGTAAAACACGACACCATGGGGGCTAACTCACAAGGGAAGCTTTCGCTTTCGTATCAGGAGTCCTATCCAGAGATATATCCACGTGTGCCTGTGGTCCAGAGCCGACCGAGGCTGGGAGTGGGTTGTGGCATCAAGACCTTGTTGGAGTACTGTCTCTCTCTCCCTCTGACTCATGAAAGAAAAAACAATTCCCCTGCATTTTGGGGGTATGTGACTCACCTAGTGCTAAATGTATTCACATTAAAGAAATCTCCGTGACATTCCAACCAGTCACAACTGTCCCTCATTACTGTGTTAGTTATGACAGGGTTCCAGTCCCCAGACTCCTGTCTTGTGGATTTTCATGTAGACTCGCATTGCTCCATATCTACTCATGTGAAAGAAATGCATTCTATTAACTGGAAAACAAAGACATTTCATAATGCTTTTTATCAATCCCAAATACGCTTGTCCAATAGAGTATGTTGTCGGTCTTAGCAAGTTTGGAAAATGTCTCAGAAATTGGACAAAGTCTTTCAGGAGCTGTTGTTATCTGGGGTTTTAGCTTATTTGAATAAATATAATACACAATGTGTAGGTGTTGTACTTTGTTGGGTTTTCTTCATGATTATCATCAAATTGAAGTTGAAACAATTTGGAAACCATATTTCAATGAGGATGAATCAGTTAACTTCCGTGGACCTTATTTTTCTCATCCATAAAGTGGACAGAATAATACTCGCTTTATACGGTTATTGTAAAGTTAGTAAAGATGAAATGTGTAAAGGACCTAACACGGCGCTCAGCAGATAAAGGCATTCATGACGATTCATGACAAAATGTGTGCCATGACTGGACTGTGGATCGATCGCTGTGGATTAAATGAGATAGCCTGCCCAAGAGCTTGCCAGGACATGCTAAACGGTAGCTATTGTTACTCATTATTATTAACTATGTTGGTTATAACTGGCTTACCACTTCCAGAGTTCCCGTCCCCTGACCACTGTCTTGTAGATTTCCATGGAACTGATGTGGTTTAGTTGTTGGCTTCGAAGATGTCACCTTGACCTTCTTTCCTAGGTGTGTCATTGTGATTCTGGTGTTCCGAGTCTTCTCAAAGCTCAAAAGACTTTTTAAGAGTCCAGAGGCAGGTCCTGCCAGACTCCTCAGATGTATGGAGCACCAGGATCAAATGAGCGCATATCCTTAGGGCACACTGCACCTGGCTGCTCATTCTTGCATTTCTGCAGTCAGCTTTGAAACCCTCTGCTAGGAACTCACTTGCTAGAACTGGTTATACTGAACAATGGACAAGAAACAAAGCATGTCCAAAAAGCATGCAGCAGTGTGACTAGCATTTTCTCTCTCTCTTTTTATTTTCTATGAGCAAAATAACTACCTACCTATTCTTTTCTTTTTTGGGGGTGGGGGGGTCTTTTTATTGATCTATTTTTAATCCCAAAGCCATCCTCTTCTGTTCTTTCTGAAAGCTAATTTTCAGGCAAGCAGATAGGTACTCTGAACACCAATCAGAAGTAGATGTTTGGTTCAAACAAAGGTTGGGTTAACTTGGAGTTTTGTTTGATTTTGCAGTGTTCTCCCGTAAAATCGATACTTAGGTCCTCCGAAAAGATACTAGTCTAATATCTAAGTAGCCACGTAGAATAAACCCTTAGCTACCTTCCTAACACGACAGGCTTAAGCTCTCTGGGCATCTTTAGACCTAAATATTCAACCTGGCCCTTCCACTGGTATTTCTCCAGGCCTCAGTCTCTGTAGCTCTAAGATGAGAGAGTTCCTTCCTATATGTCCCTGATCATTCCTGGCTTCCCTCCCGCAGCCCTCTAGGGTAGCATTCATAAAAATGGCCTCGCTGCTGCTTCTCTTATCTCAGGGAGAGCACGCCTCTTTCCACATACAGCAAGGGATGTTTGGATGCTATTGCTAGGACGGTCTCCCTTGCTCACCCTGTCACTCTGGATCACACAAGATCCAGTGTGTGATTCCTTCTGCTGGTGACTGGACATCACTGGCACAGAGGAAGTGCCATGACGGTGACTTGACCTACAGCTAATTACCCTAATGGAAATTCTTATCTGTGTGGAAGTGAAAGAATATCACACATGGTATGAAGAATTCATATACCAGGGGCTAGCAGTTAACGTAATGGCTATGTCGTTGGACTCCCATGTAGTCAACCGTGGTTCGAGTCCCAGACCTGGTGGCTTAAACTCACTCTGGGCGTGTGTGCGTGCGTGCCCAAGATCCCAAGAGGAGAATGGAGGAGAAGGGATTGTGGTGTGGTCATCCCCCCTGGGGGTGATTTCTCACTTTCTGTCTCTCTGTCTCTCTCTCTCTTTCTGGCAAATACACACACCCTATAGCAAAAAAACCTCTCCAGAAAAAGAAAAAAAAAAAGAAAAGGACATTTCAAGTACGATCACTCAGAGTCCTATCTTCTCCCACCTCTCAGACAAAGATGAACTGTAACAGATTATGCCCAATAGTGATGACATACCTATTGGCCACTTTAAAAATATATCCTTACTTTGTATAGTTACTGTCGTAAGATTTCTTCTAGTGATTTTGTATATATGCATATACATTATATATATATCATGACTTATTTTTTTTCTGGTTTTCTATGCAAAAAGGCATCCTGACTTTTATAACAGCCCAATGGAATACGTTAAGTGAAACATTTATGATTAAATCCTGTATTTCTACATAAGACTAGATCATTCCAGGTCAATGGTCTTTGGCCACATAACTCATGAGCCCAAGGTGAAAGCTCTTGTTTGAGAGGCACTCTGAATATTCCCTCATACATACACCTTCGATTTATTTTATTGTTCTTGCTTTTGCGTTGTCTCCGTCT